AGGATAGTTAATTTAATTTTGCATTTGCTTCATAATTAGCTGTTCTACTTTCTTTACTGTGGTTATTACCTCTGGTGACAGCTATTCAACCTTAGGAACACTTCCGTCTATAACAGTCCCTCCAAAATAGACTGTAGAGATGGTTTGTGGGAGGTAAATTCTCTCAGCCTTTGCTTATCTGGAAATTGTTTAATCCCTCCTTCAAATTTAAATGATAATCTTGCTGGATAAAGTAATCTTGGTTCCAGGCCCTTCTGCTTCATGGCATTAAATACATCATGCCACTCCCTTCTGGTCTGTAAGGTTTCTGCTGAGAAATCTGATGGGCTTTCCTTTGTATGTGATCTTATTTCTCCCTCTGGCTGCTTTTAACAGTCTGTCTTTATCCTTAATCTTTGTCATTTTAATTACTACATGTCTTCATGTTGTCCTCCTTGGGTCCCTTTTGTTGGGAGATCTGTGGATCTCCATGGCCTGAGAGACTATCTCCTTCCCCAGATTGGGGAAGTTTTCAGCAATTACTTCCTCAAAGACACTTTCTATCCCTTTCTCTCTTCTTCTTCTGGTACCCCTCTAATGTGAATATTTTTCCATTTTGATTGGTCTCACAGTTCTCTCAATATTCTTTCATTCTTAGAGATCCTTTTTTCTCTCTGTGCCTCAGGTTCTTTGTATTCCTCTTCACTAGTTTCTATTTCATTTATCATCTCTACCATATCCAGTCTGCTTTTAATACCCTCCATTGTGCTCTTCAACAATTGGATCTCCACCTAGAATTCATTCCTGAGTTCTTGAATATCTTTCTGTACCTCCATTAGCATGTTAATGATTTTTATTTTGAACTCCCTTTCAGGAAGAGTCACAAGGTCCATGTCATCTTTCTCAGGGGTTATATTAATTTTACTCTGGACCAGGTTCCTTTGGCATTTCATATTTGTGTATGGCGCTGTCTATTGTCCAGAAGCTCTACTCTCTGGAGGTGCTCAGCCCCTGAAGCAATGTCGGGGGTCACAGGGGAGTGGGATTGGTGCCTTGGGGGAGGAAAGAGCTGTTTCCTGCTTCCTGGCTGTTGTGCCTGTCTCCACTGCCTGAGCCAGTGGGCCGAGCACAAAGGTGTAAGTTTTTGTCCCTGAGCAGCCAGATATGGATCCCTGCTTTCCACAAGCGGCTGGAATCTCAGTCTCCAGGAATTCTGCCTGTCTTAGCTTTCCAACCCCATAATCATGAGAGTATCATGAAAGCACCATGAAATATATGTTTGTGCTCCCAGAGCAGATCTCTGGAGTTTGGTATTCAGCACTCCCAGGCCTCTACTCCTTTCCTGTTCAGTTTCTCTTACTCCTGCTGGTGAGCTGGGGTGGGGGAAGGGCTTGGTCCCACTGGGGCACAGCTTTGGTTTGTTACCCTGTTCCGTGAGGTCTGCTCTCCAGGTGTATGCAGTCTGGCGCAGTCCTCTCTCCTGTTGCTCTCTCAGGATTAGTTGTATTAATTATATTTTCGTATTATATGTGGTTTTAGGAGGTAGTCTCTGTCTTACCTCTCACACTGACGTCTTTAATCCTCCTTGTTTTGTTTTCTTTTAAAACATAAAACCACTGCATCCTCACATCAAATGAACTTTGGAAAGCAGAGTATGTTTCATTTCCATTAATATACTTTAAATGTTTCAGAACATGATTTTCCAGAAAGCCCTGAACAATATATATGCATCTTTCAGGGCATTGTCCTGTTTGTTCAGCCTTGGTTCCTTTATACTAACAAGGACCCTCGGAGCAACAAAAATGTATTCTTTCATTGACTCTGGTGGAGAGAGATAGTTTGCCTAGTAATTGGTACCTAAAAACCACAGGTTGCTGACTTTTTTTTTACTGGCCCCTGTACTGTTAATTCAAGAAAAGCCAATTGGCAATTTAAATACTACTCTAGAAATACCTGGGAAATGAAGCTTTTTGTTCTTCCAGAGAGGGAAAAATCTCTGAGTAAAAACCAGGATACCTTGCCATTTGCTTCATGTTCTTTCTACATAACCAGAGTACAGTTAGTCAGCGTGAGATGTATCTTCCTGGTTCAGTGGTCTGGTGAGTCAGAAGGTTTGAATTAGGGTCCCAGCTTTTTGACTTTGTAGATGCTAATATTTTTGTGCTGCAGTTTTCTTTACTGTAAAGTGAGGGCATTAGACTAGGTGATCTCAAAGGACCTTTCTAGTTCTTCAAAATAATTCTTGGGTTATTTCTAGGGTTTTTTCTTTCATGCAAGGGTTTCCTCCTATTTCCCTCATATTTTCCACATGTGAGCATTCAAGGTGGGGCAATAATTAAAAACTACCTAATGCCTGCCTTTGTACCTGAGGGTGGTACCGCTGCGTGGCAGCCTCTTCGCTAAATGTGTTTACATTTTTTTTTGTATAATAAAAATGTGCTCTGAGCTTGCCTTACTGTTTGCACAGTACTGTCAGACATGAGTGGGTAATTAGATTTAGATTTAAATTGATAAAAATTAAAAATTTATTTTCTCAGCTGTACTTCTAGCATTTCAGATTGCTTAATAGCCACATGTGGCTAGTGGCTACCATTTAGACAGCATGGACAGAACATTTCCACTGTCACAGCAATGTCAGACAGTGCTGTTTTAAGATGTAGTTTATGACTGTGAAGTAAACTATCTTTCCTCAGTTCCAATTTACATTTTATTCTGTGGTCTTCTGAAGTCATTTTAGGCCATTTTTTCAAATGGGGCCAAAAAGGAAAGCTGTTTAAATGTACACGTTTATTAATAGTAAGGTATTTTTGTTTAGAATTATTTTTATAATAGGCATAATTTAAAATAAATATGAATTCATCTCTCTGCTGCATCTTTAATGGGTAGGTTTTAAAAAGAGGTAGAGGTAGGTTTTTAAAAAGTGCTCTTACATAGTAGGTGGAATGAAAAGAAAAGATAGAAAAAAAGGAAACATTAAACATTAAAGCATGCATGCCACCCCAACACCCCAAATAATGCTGGATAGGGTCATGTAAAATTAACCCTCCTGTGTAGCACAGGACTCTTTAACCAAACTATCTAGCCTAGAACTGGTCACCATTTAATAAACTGCACCTACCCTGGTGTGCTAGTGCATGGGTCCTCAGGACTTTGGTGGTGTATCACCTGATAGTGAAAGAAAAAGAAGAAATTTGCTTGGCTTCTTGCAGATTACTCATGTCTATTACATAGCAAAAACATAAATCAGTGATGAGTTCCTAATGATCAGAGCACTCTGTTGGTACTGAAGTATTGAGTCATATTAGTACCTGTAAACAGACATCTGAACAGATTGATCAACTGCATCAGTGTACACACAGATGACACCCAGGGGTTTTTGGAATTACACTCAAAGACCATGACCAAAATAAGGCATAAAATTGTGGTGTTTCAGCTGAATGACTGTTTTGTATTTTAAATAAATGGTAAGCATACCCACGTCTATTTGTTCTGCCTGCTGTGTTGATATGGGTATTGAAGTGTTGATTCATTTTGTAAAAGACAGTATTGATTAGCTGTGAACCCAGTTGGACAGTTGTGTGCAGATTCTTAGTCAATGAAAATTACTTTAACGCTTTGGACTTTGAAATTCTGAAAGATTGAAAGCTCTTATTGTTTGTTAATTAGATTCTAGGGCCTAGTCTTTTGATTTCCCGGGACCTAGGACTTAACACTCCATTGCTAATAAGTCAATGTGGAAAAGTTTAGAATTGCATTTAATTCAGTCAACTGTTAGACTGTGGTCAGTTTTTTTTTACAGTTTTCATAAGGCATAACTCTTGAGATAACTTTACCAACTCTAAAATACTTATCCAGTTTCCTCTAATTGTAAGTCATTTTTCATAGTAACGACACACAGTCTAGGACTGTTTCGTTTGGTTGTTCTTTTCTTTTCCAGTTAGAGTAGTGAAAGATAAAAGAAATTCTTTGCATTGAGTACAAAATTATAATCCAAATCCTTTGAAAGCAATACACTATCTCCTTAAACTACATCTGTAATAAACATTTTGTCCTGCTTTACATAAACTAACATTCACAATAAAAATAGATAGAATGCTGCTTTTAATGCTGAACTCAGTTTTTTGTTTGTTAAGTATACTTGCTTATTTTTATCTTGGTTTATTGAGCTCTCTTGGTCATATATAGATTACATTCTACAACTGGTCAGGCATACGTACACTTGTACATTGCATAGACATTGCAAAGATTATTTCCAATTTCTTTCCAACTGAAGTATGTGGCTGCTCCCAACTCAGCTTTTGAAGCTGGATTGTCCACCCCTGCCTGGTGTAAGGAGAGGGCTCCTGTGTTCTTAACTGACTGTTCTTTGCCTAGTTGTTCTGGTGGACAACCCTCTGTTCAGTGATTAACTCTCCTTGTACTTTCTCCTTTCCCAGGAAGATTCAGAACGGGCCAGGTATTCCCACCGGGCCAGTCATCATCGTCCTTACTTGGTTTGTAATAACCTATAAACATGCCCCTAATACTGTTCCTCATTAATTTCATGTAGTCACTCACAAATTCATACTATGTTTGTTTTTATTTCATCAGGGAGTTGAGGATGCACTGTCCACTCGAAGTCTTGGCAGTCACAGGGTTGGTATTTTAAGTTGTTTACACCACGCGAGCAAAGCTTGTGTGCACAAGTTTTCTGCAGCATCGTTGCCTAAAGAATCTGATAGTGTTCATACATTCCTTTGCCTTTTTAAAAAAAATAGAAAATACTGGCAAAGTTCTTTGATCAGAAACTGATGCTTTCTGCCAAATTGTTGCTATAGGTAAATCAATTCCAGAATCATAAATATTTTCACCTATTAATATATGTATTTGTTCTTTTTCTATAAAAGGACCTTTGATTTTGAAAAATTATGATTGATTTTATGGAATCACATCTTTTTGGCTCTAAGTTTCATATTTTTTCTTTCATATTTTTTAAAATGACAATTTATTAAATTTGAAATAGGTTTGGGGCTTGGGTGACTGTAGTTTCATTATATGGGAAAACTGAGCTACTGATTTGAAAAATTCTCTGCTTGTCATGTTTACAGAAATTATCTTGCATCAGCATCTTGATGAATATTTTGTAGTATGTCTCAGGTTTTTATCATACATTGTTATAAAAGAAGGTAAATGAGAAGTCTCTCATTAATGGATTACATGTTGTGCTAAGATAATGATCTCTTCTTAAACCTTAAAGCAATGCCTTTAATTGAACTTTGATTTTATATATATATACATATATATATATATATATATATGTATATATATACACACACACACACTTACATCTAGATTTTTCATCAGTAAAATTATCTTTCACGTTAAAGTCTATATTTGTTAATTTTCTCCAAGTCTGGTTTTCTTCCCATCTTGTATTAAAATACATGATAATAAACAGTGTGTTCCTGTATATAAGTTACTGATGTGTTTGTATTCTTAAATAATCCTTTACTCTGATTATATTTCTTATTGATGAATGTAGTCTTCTCTTTTTAGAGTAAGTTGGTAAGTTAGTGTTTGAATCATAAATGTTTGGTTAAATACAAAAGTTTAGATTTTTATAAGACTGTTAATAAGCCTTTACAGAAATCTAATCAGTAGCTTATGAATGAAGAATAAAGGAGAAAGACTTTAAAATAATGTACTTGTCATGCTTCTCCCTGGAGGTTTTTTGTTTTTGTTTTTGTTTTCGCTTTTCTCTTTAAATGCTTTGAAAAGAACTGGGTAGGTAGTCAACAAAAGGTTAAAAGTTAAGTGCTGAAGGCTTTGAAAATAATCCTGTCCCCTCCTTAAAAAATTTATGGCTTTTCCTTTGCTTTCTATTATAATGTTCATAGTGCAAAGTTTCCCACAGTTATTACCAAGCTGGTTATTTGTAAATTGGTATGTGGTCTTTGGGAAACTTGATTATATAGTAGTTTAACCTAACAGTAAAAACATCCAAGTTCAACCTAATTTAGGAGGCTTTAAATCAGATCTGCAAGCAAACAAAAAAAGAAACCTGTAATTAAATTAAAAAGGAATTGTTTACCCAGAGTGTCTACAATGTAATGAGGTTGATTTCTTTCTATGGAAATTATATTGTTAAATGAATTTAAGATAAAACTAGAGCTCTTACACTATTTTATTTCATTATGGTAATTATGAAAATTTGCTACTATGGGACAAGAAGTAAACTCTTAATAATTAAAAAAATCTGTGTGTGAATTTAAAGATTAATAAAAATTTTCCACTCTAGAGGAAACTCTAGTACTTTACTCTGGAAGAGTGTACATCCAGCACATTTAAAATATTTAGACTTTCCTAGAGGTAAGTCTGAAAGCTCACTAATGATATTCTTTAAAATAAATATAATTGAGATACTTTCTTTTAGCTAGATAAAATTGGGAGTTCTAAGTTTTCATCCAATTATTTGCTTTTTAAATTCGTTTACTAACTCCATTAAGCTGAATATGTAGACAGTTTTTATTCTCTGTGATGGCCTAAACACTGAACTAAATTTTATTGGGGTTTGCTATATAATTTGAGGGTTTTGGTATTTCTCTCCCAGTTATTTTTAAAGCCTTACCATGAGCCATGTATTTAAAAGCCTTAACACTTTGGGACCTTGCATTGATGTATGAACATTAGCAGTACCTGAGGATGTGAGGCCAAGGTTTTATGGTGTTATGCTGAATTCTTAGGACTTTGATCTTTCTGTTAACTTTTACATAGTACCTTCTTGAAAGGTGGCCTGCCAAAAGGTATTTGTGCTGGAAACAGTATCAGTGCTGTAGATATTCTGTATAAAAATAAACAGAGCAAAGATAGTTCAAGACTGAATGAGAGGCTTGGGGAGGAAGGACTAAATCAGAGCCCTGAATTTAGAATCTAAACAATCTGTTTCCTTAAAAAACAATCTGCCTTCAAAAACATCTTACAAATGCTTGGTCACTGCTTTATATACTGAAATACAAGAAGACTATAAAGGAGAGGTCCAAAATTAGAAGAGGAGGTGATGTTGAATCAGAGCAGTAAGAATACACTGCAATTCCTCATTGGTGGAGATTTTACTGTTCTATGTATTAGTTTCTATTTATATATCAATAGACTTGGTATGATTTTAATGAATTTAATTTTAATATGCTTGCAATTTGTGCTTTGTAACTTACTGTTTATTCCATGGAAGAACTCATCGAAGGACACAACTGGGACACACTGGAGCAGAGCCAGTACACCCAAAAGGAAGGACATCATGGTGTGTAGCTCAGAAAAATGTATAGTGTTAGTATTTTTCATCAGTGGTGACTCTCAGAGTTCTGGGGTTTGAGTAATAGGTACATTCATAGAGAAACTGACACTTGCTGAACTTATATTTCCATGTTTGCTGTACTTTTTATTTCTAAATGAAAAATGAAAACTTTGAGAGTCAAAAGATATTTTTTTGATAGGTTATAATAGCAAATTTGGAAATGTTTTAGCTAAAGCCCTTAATATTTTCAGTTCTCCCTCCTTTGATGAATCATTTGTTATTAAAGAACATAAACATCAACTGGCATATATTAGGGGGGTTCTTTTTGTTTACTCAGTTGTCTTAGTGCTTGGGATTGCTTTATTGTGGATTTTACTACCAGATAGATTTAGTACTTTTTAAAAACCAGCTGAACTCCTTTTATATTTTAGAAAAGGAAAATTGAAATAGGTCCATTTCAGTTCTGCTTGTTAAATCCTATGCCTTTGTAAAATGCCACTGGTGCTACCGAGAGGATGACAAGAAATGAGACATGACTATTCTCTTCAAAGAACTTATCTGGTTGGGAGGATGGAATATTTATATGCAAGAAAGTGCAGCTTGAGTAATACATATTTTCATCATGGGCTTTTTTAAAACAAAAAATATTTTGTTAATCAAGAAAAAACATAAGTGAAATTTCTGTAGTGAAGGAACTTTATTTTCAGAGAAATGTCACTCAACTTACGTTGATGTTTTTACCATTGCAACAGGGTGGGGGGGCCAGTTCCCTGGGAGCACCCTTCATCATTTACCTTCATCCTTTACCAAACATGCACCTTTAGACATTACAGACAGTTTTGGATAAATGATATTTTACACATGTAATAACACTCTTTATTGCTTGCCTGTTCTGACAGTTTCAGGATAATACAAAGAAAAGCATGCCAATGCAGACATTTTGCTCCAACACTATTTAGTATTTGTTACAATACCATTTCACTGAACTTATACCAGTGGTAAAATTGTACCACTGAGCCTTATGTTTCTGAAATGTGTTTTGGGGAGTGTCTGCAATATCTTTTGCAAATAACCATCTCATTGGGCATGAAGGAGGCCTTTGTTCTGTCTGATATATTAGCATTTTATTAGAACTAAACTATAATTTGGTCTTATAGTATATTTTAAGCTTTTAAAAATTGTGACCTCTGCAACAAGAAATACATATTACACCATGGTCCAGTATACGTAAGCAGTTATGTGCCTGTGAGTTTTTGTTATATAAGTATATAAAATATATTATTGAAACAAAAGTTTCACAACATTATATATTCTCTTACTGTGTACAAGTCACTAATATTATTCTCTTCTATTTATTTCATTTTGTTAATGTGCTGATTAAAACCATACATTGGTTTTATGAACTATTAATGAGTTGCACCCCACATTTAGGAAAGTATTATGTTAGATCAGGTATTTGAATAACATTCCCTAACATCCTAAATGGGGATAAGAGTTGTAAATGAAAAATATTTTTATTAGACTACCTGGGGAACTTGTTACTGCTTTTGTTTATACATTGCTCTTCTGGGTAAGGTTGCTTAAGAAATGTAATCTAAAATGCTTAGAAAACAAAGTTAGGAAACCACAAATTATAAGTTATTTATTTATTTATTGTTTAGTAATTTATTATTAGTAGTAGTTTATTATTATTTAATTCAGTTTCTTGGATCTGAAATGCGGTGCTGCATGAATTAATCTTATTTTTTAAAGACCCTACATGAAATGGTTTTTTTCTGGTCTTACCAAAATATTATCTATTTTTCTTCAATTTACATTTAACCACATTTGGTTGTATACTCTGTATTCCACATTTTGTTCAGACCAAGTTTGTAGTTTTGTTCAGTGTTTTTAATAGGGAAGGTTTATGAGGAGGAGGTTTTTCAGGTGTGTGTACACAGGCGCTCCCAGGGAACTGGCCTCCCCACCCTGTTGTGATGCGGCAGTTGTCTTTTATGAGCCTTGATTATGTTAGTCATGTGCTCTAGCTTCGCTGTCTGCCCATGCCTTGCTTTGTGCTTGTTTCCAATGATGGAAAATGATGGTAACAATCAGAGTAATAAAAAGGAAGACACCTTCTGATGTCAGAATGCTTGATTCTTGCATTTAAAGGCTTTCTTAGGATGTTCTGTACTATAGTGTACGGAGTTTGAATCATCCCGCCATTACTGATTACGAAGTCTGAATTGAAGGAGAACATGCAGTTTTACATATACATACAGTTTATCAGTAACTTATTCTAGGGAAGACTAGGGGGTATTCTTTAAATCAAATGTAACAGCCTTTCTGTTTAATAATTTTGGGCTTTTAAAATACTGCTGCATTTTAAATAATTTTGCAAATGTTACTTTTTTTTTTCCTCTTTATATTTCTGATTTTGGAAATACAACCAACTTTCACCTTCTTCTGAAATCCAGTATGATGCTCTCAAGGATAGATCGTCAAGACTTTCTTCATTAGTATGTAATGCATGACTTTGTGTTAAATGTAGTTTTACTTTACAAACACCTAATGATGCTAATCATAGATTATGACTGACTTTCACAGGTTTGTTGTGGTGTTTTAGGGAAAACAGTGTGGCCAACAAAGCAAAAACTATTGTTTTGCAATTGTGACATAATTTAACATTTGAATTATTTTTTCTTTTGGAATTTCAAGGTCAGATAAAAATTCTTTGCTTCCCTGTTTAGGCTTAAGATCGGTAGTAGTATCTTTTCTTAAACTGATGAGCCACTCAGTTGACACACACTCATTGCCCTGCAAGACATGTTTCGTGTTATCTGTTGCCTGGAAGACATAGCAGTGTTTTGATACACACTAAACTATGGCATCACAGGCCCTCCTGTGTTTCATGTTGTGTCATAAGCCAGCAGGTGTGAGGTTGCTAAACAGAAAACGTCCAGCAGTGACAGATGATACCTGAAACATCAGTCACATCCACTTATTTTTGCCTGATTTGGTTTGTGTTTCATGGTATGTCATTCCAGCCAAGGATGTTTAGTTATGGCATGTTTTTCTTGGGTTAATACTATGTCAATAGACTCTATAGACATTTCTTAAAATGTTCAAGATAATGTATAAAAGGAAAGATATTCATATTGAAAGAAGGGAAATGAGTTTATAATCATTGGTTCAGGATCTAGCTGTGCATATGCCCAATGATTTGCCTCGAGCAGACGGTTGATGGGTCAGACCCTTTTATCTGCACCTGCTCATTTCGGGCGAGCAGTACATACCTAGATTGGGTTTCTTGTTTACCAGCTGATCTGATTAGTAGTATTGCTGTCCTTTATCCTGCCCCTACACACTTGGCTCTGTACTCCTGGGAGAAGATGTTTATTGAGACAATGCTGTCTTCAAAGGACTTAGATATAAGGTTATTGTATAATAGTGCTGCTACCAGGGCTGTTTTATTCCTGAGCAGCACATGCTGTGGGACGACTAGCTTGTGTTGAGAGCCCTGTCTTGGGCAAGGCCATATCATGTCCTTTGTATCTCTCAGTCAGTTGAGTGCAGTGCATCGTGTACCAAACATGCACCTTTAGACATTACAGACAGTTTTGGATAAATGATATTTTACACATGTAATAACACTCTTTATTGCTTGCCTGTTCTGACAGTTTGAGGATAATACAAAGAAAAGCATGCCAATGCAGACATTTTGCTCCAACACTATTTAGTATTTGTTACAATACTAATGTAATGAGAAATAGATTGCATGCATCCTACCCTGTATCTCATTTGGACCTTTCTGTGTATAATTTTAAGATGAATTTATTAAATTATTTTTAAGAATTCACTACATGATTGTTAAATTTAACTTCAGATATTTACTTCCAGAATCATTCTTATAGTCACTCTTACGGAATGAAGAAGAGATCTTCTGGTTCTCATAAAGACCTGCTGGTTAGTTCTTTTGTGTCTCATATCACAGTGTCTTGCATTGCTGTAACATTCACTGAGTACTTGTAGGGAACTTAAGAATTAGGAGTACTTTGGTGTGCTCCTTAGGCATTATTGAAACTTGATTATATACTGAAACATGATTTATCAGAAACTTATTTAAAAATAATATTTTTTCATTTGCAAGATTTAATAGCAAGTTAGTATAGGCTAACCCCTAGGGGCTAGAGTCAGGAAGGTGTCAAGAAGTTCATGAATATATTTTCATTTATGAACTGTCCTTTGGACTATACCTCAAGAACAGGGTTAGTGAGATTTTTATCCTTATTTTAGGAATTTCAATTGATTTAGTTGTGGTATCATAGGCAGTACCAAACTCACAAATAGGTTTCCTTCTGAAAGTTTGTAGGTCAAATTTTGCGACCTTGGAATGAATTTTCTTGTAGAAACAAAGTTTGTGATGGCATAGTTCCCATGATGCCTTGTAGAAAACTCTTCACCTGTAATGTAATTAAAGTGCAGAACTAATAGCGCTCTCCGTTCTAGTCAGCTTGCTGAGCACCATTCCTGTGGGGGAAAAGATGTGCCCAGAATGCCCACTTGGGGAGCTGGAGGCACATCTTTCCTGTCAGGCTGCTGCAGTACTGGCTGAGGAAGGGCAGCTCCAGGTTCCCACTAACTCAGGGCTCTGTGGGAGGAGCTCTTCCCAGTGGGGCTGTGGGGGAGAGGGTCCGGAGGCTTTGGATGGTTAAAAGGTGCGAGGGTGTTGGGGGAGACATGATGCAAGGGATAGGACATGAGTGAGAGGCCCTGGGGGATGTAGAATTGCAGCTCTGGGGAGAGGGGAGTCACAGAGCCTCATTGAGGGTGTGTGTGGTGAGGAAGGCAGGCCAAGAGTGGCAGGGTGGTGGGAGGAGGGCTGTCCCAGTGGCAGTGTCAACAGTGGAGGACAAGTCCTTTATCAGCAGTGGATTAAATTTCCTTAACCTTGAGTAAAAATGATGGCTGGAGAAGTTAAATTGGGAATTTTATAGATATGGTTTTCTTTCCCTCAAGTGACCACAATATATACCATTGCCTGCTTTGTGCAGTGTATTGAAAACGAACCTGCCATAGACATTTTAGACCAAACCATATTTAGTGCACACTTGGCTCTCTCTGGTAATTTAACTTGATCAGTTGCTTTTGAAAAATAGTGAGACTAGGAGAAGTTTGGAAAAAATGACTGTTTAATAATTTCTGTGGCATTGCCAAATAGATTATAAAAGGAGCAATTAGGCAGTTGTCCTGCATTTTTCAAGGACATTCCTAAGTATATGAGAACAAATCACTTATTTTTTCCATTCCATTTTGAGTGAGAGTTTATGCTCTTGTTTTTAAAGAAAATTAGTAATGACTGGTTTGAAAAAGTTAACCTTTAATATCAGTCTTTACTGAGAGACTTAATTGTTATTTTGACATCTACTGAATATAATTCAGTGCTTTAAAGTTATTGTTTTGGAGGAGAAGGGGTTTGGCATTAATCAGATTTGCCTTTGTGTATTGTTAGGTTGACAGCCTTTAACCTAAGAAAAATGCATTTAATTTTGCTTTTTGCAGAGTGGCCTATACTTTGACCAGAGAAACTATAGCGGTCTTAGACACAGCAAACCCACTTCTGCCTTCTACACTCGGGTTTGTCTAAAGTTTTATGACTTCATGTGTTTTATCCAACTTGAACACATTTCTAATTCCCTACTTTGCATTTCGACTAGTTAGAACTAATCTGTGAATCACTATATATACTAATTTGTGGTAACTGAATTCTTACACTCTGTGTGCATCTTTAAATAATGAAAACTGTTAAATTACCATGTTTGTAAATGAGTACCATTTTTTCTAGATGAAAATATTTAACATGCGAAAAAGTTCAAAGAACTGTGTGGTAACCACCCACATACCTACCATGGATTCTACGATTAATACTTTACTGTATTCTCATTAGCATATTATTATCTGTCCCTACAACCGTCCATCCACCCAAATCTTTGGGAGATGCATTTCAGAGTAAGTTATAGGCATTCACATCATAGTAGAAACTCTCTTATTTAAAACATACATATGAAAATTTAAACTATAAATGGGATGAGAGGAAGGTAATTATTTGTTTAAAGTTAGAATCCTTGTTTCTTCAAGAAGGCATTTGGCATGTCATATATTTATGATACATTAAATATGTGTCACACAGTACATTTAAAATAATTGTCAAAACCTGCACATATAACTTACTCTTATTTTCCATGTCTGATTGGATTTAGTGAAAAAGAATGGAAAATTATGTCTTCACATGACATCATGAAAAGAAAGATTTAATTCATTTTTTAAAAATGTTGTTTTGTTAGTGCATGAATTCATTATAACCAGTACAACTGGTCTAATTAAACTAAGGCACTTTGTCCATGGCTTGTTTTGACATATGTTTCCTCATCTCTTTGGAAAAGTGTTTGTAGCAGTAACTCAGAGCCCACTTACCGGATGCCCCAGTATCAGGCTAAGCCTATTAGGAATCTGTCGTGTGAGCAATGGGATTGTCACAGGAGCTGCTGGTGACTGGGATGTGACCACTGCCACCCCTCCTGTGCCATGGCCCTGTTCCTGAGTGCTTTCAAGGTTGTCATCCCATTCCTAGCACTTATGTTCAAAGACCAACAGAACTCAAACACATTTATAGAAAACTATTCTGTTTTTCTTTCTTGTCTCTTAAAATCGATATTCAAAAAGGCGTCTGATGACTAAGTTTTTCTCACTTACATGTTAACTTGACTACCTGAGGCACTCTTTGAATTGCTGATGAATTGTGAGGTATAAAATTACCATTATGGTAAGACCAATTCTCCCTTACTTTGCTTAATTATTTTGTTTTGCTTTGTTTTTGTTTCTAAACAGTCTTCTTCCTTGTACAGTGACCCTCTGGCAACATCAAAGAGCACCAGGGTTAGTACCTTCTGAGGAGTGTGTTGCTTTCAGATCTACCTTTGGGTTGCTTTTCTTTGGGTTAAATCATGTACTTATTTCACAGGCCTCCCCTGTTGTGAATTCTGGTCTGCTGAGAAGTGCCAGTCTGGTTTGTTTTTTCCTCTTTTAATGCAGTGTGTCCTGTAGAATGTGCTGCCTGTGCTTAAAATACAAAACTACAGTGGTAAAAATAAGTGTATTCTCTTTACAGTGGTAGATACTGCTAGCTGTTGGTAGGCCTTTGCTGTGAGCTGGTTTCCTATAGAGAAGGTAGATTTGCGTGGATCCCACTATGCTTGCGTACTTTTGTCAGATGGCTGCCCATGCACAGGATTTCATACTTTTCTTGGAGACAGCTGTGGTCTTGGCCACATTAATAGTAGACTCCCGTAAAGCAAGCAGACTTCTAAGGAAAGCAAGAAGAGTAGCTCTGTGTGATATGCACGTTCCAAGTCAATTGCTTTCAAGCTTTTTGTTGTGTTGCGGCCTGTTTTTGTGGATTGGAAGCCTGAGGCTCTGTGACTTAATTTTATGTAACAGTGGGCAAAATGCTTTTTTACCTCACTTTCCTTTCCTGTTCTGTCCCTCTTTTGAGAGAATAAACTCATAAATGTTAGTTCTTCTCATTTCTAACATGATGATGAAAGGAAATACTGTAACCAGTGGTGCTTTTTAAATGAAGTGTGACTCGGAAGTATTCATGAGGCTAATGCAGGAGTGTGTGCATCTAAGTGAGTGTTATCCCCTTCAGAGCCTTCACCTTGGGAGGCTGTACACTCACACTATCCTTCAACCATTTTTGAAACTGAGTACTGCAAAGAAGTTGGGACATTTTCAAAACAACTTTGATGCTGAATAGATAGATGGTATTTCCTTTGTTCTTTAGGTGTCACTGTATGACGGTGGATTATATAACCCCTATGGTTCTCGAACCGTAAGTCTACTTGGTGGGAGTGGGGTGAAGAGGCTGATATGTAGGTGGGCACAGTTTACTTACAAAGAAATATTCATTGAAGTTGACCTGTAATTGTTCTACAAGCTGCAATCCATCAGCTCGCCAGTTGTGACTTACCCATGCTGTTAGGGAGGCCTGCCAAAAATCATAGCTTTAAGTACAAAGGGAATATAAGTAGAGAAATCTCTTTTCCTGATCATTAGTTCCTCAGGAAGAGGATGAGAGTGGTGCTTCTTGGGGCACATTCCCCTCTTCTCCTCTCCCTCCTGCCAAGGAGGTGGGTCTTGAGGGTGGGAGTGAGGTAGAGTTTCAGGCAAAAGAATGAGTGTCCTTTGCCCTGGAGCCAGGGGCAACCTAAGTCCAAGGTCTCTATTGGATTCCCAGCATGAAAATTGCTGATCATCATTCATCATTGTAAAACTTTTCTTCTTGAAAACTTTATAGCCGTCTGAATGCAGTTATTACTCGTCAAGAACAAGCTCAACCCGAAGCAGTCCTGTGGTGAGCTGTCTACTCTGCATGCTTTAGGGCCTCTCGTGGTTTCTTTACTCTAAACTCACCATTTGGGATATGGAGGGCATGCTGTGTGTCACTCTCTTGTGCATGGATTATGGTTTTCCTTCAGTTCACAAACTCAAGTGCTAATTTACCCTACCTGGTGGTTTCTGTATATGACCGTGACATGGCACATAATTTCTTGAAGGAGTCTGAACCTGGTGCCATTAGAATGTTTAAGGAATTTGATTGTGTTTGTGTGGCACTTCTTGTGTTTCCAGTGGTGATAAATCAGTGCATGAGTTGGCACCTTTGGTTTCTCCTTTGCTTCCTGCATTGAGCCAGCACTTCCATCAGTGGAAGGGTGTGAGATGAAATAATGATAGTTAACTTCTAAAAACTGTTACGTAAAAGGCAAAACTGGGACGTTGTAATCACCTAATTTTTCTGGAGTATTACAGACAGCTTTTTAATTTGTAAGAGTAGTATTAGTTTACAGAAAGTCCAAAGTAAAATCCCCTGAGCCTTTGTCCTTATTTTCATTCCCCAGATGCAACCTTTATGCTGTATACCCTTCAGAGATAGTTTATGCATATATGAGTGCTCTTATTTGAACGATACTGCTTCTCAAGTATTCTTCACTTAAGGCATCCTTTTGTATCAGTAGATAGGATATATTTCGTTCTTTTTTTTGACATCTAAAAGATTTTTAAAAGGTAAATCATGTCCCTTTTTCTGCTGAATGACTCTTAGAGATAGTTTTCTGTCAGCACATTCTTTTTAATGGCAATATATTACTACATTAATGCATGGGTTGTACATTTTCAGAATCACTCCCCTATTGATGGATTTTAGGTCATCAGATTTTTGCTACTATAGATGTTTGTACATTTGTACAATGGACATTGTTATACAAGATAGGTTTTTGTGTACTTAAATGAATGTACCTTTAAGGTAAATTGCATATCATTAAATGATGGGGGCAGAGAGTATAGTATAATATATTTAAATTATTGTGTGTATTGCCATACTGCCCACCAAAGAAAACTGTACTAATTAACATTTCCAGTAGCAAATAACTTTAGGAGCTACTTTGTTGACAATGTCAAAATTGGAGATATTACTAAAACAGTTTCTTAATGGTTAATACTTTGTGGAATAGGTGAGCTCTATGGGCATTCTTTTCCATGTATGTTTGGCTCAGTCTCCTGAGATTTCCAAGTTGCACTTCTTAAAAATTCTACTTATGTAGTGAACAAAAATTTACACAGGGCTGTTTAAGGAGATAAAGGTTTTTCACATAAAGAGAACATTTACTTTTAACCCACCCAGTAATGAAATTCCACTTGGCAATTCTTGGGTCTGGTAGCATTTTTAAGGTACCAAGTATGATGGCTAGATGCTATTTCATTTGCAAGTTGGGTTCCCAGTTATTATCTCAGTAATGCCAGAATGGTTTCTTAGTGATGTCAGAATGGAGATAACCTAGACCTACTGAGGATGAGTCTGCTGCTGGTGAAATGGAAGAAACCTGAAAGGTGTTAGAAATACCTCCACTAGTTGCACAGGAATAAATAAAGGAAAATAACAATCATCATCTCAATGTCCTTGCTGATAGGAAATTCTGTCCTTGACTTTTGTTATTTCACTTAAAAATATTATTTTATTTTCTCTTCCAAACTAAAACATTATGTTTATTGACCACTGATGGTATACCAAAGGTCTAGAGGTTTAGAAAGCACAAAGACCCTAGATGGTTTTGGCTGGTTTACTCACTCTTCATTCCCCTCCCCTCATACTCATTTTTTTCTTTAATTTAACTTAAATAAAAGATAAAGTACTATTTTATTCTTTGTGCTTTTTGAAAATATCTTTTGATTTTTAATGATGGTTCATTACACCTTGGAACAACTTTCCTGTTTAATGGCACACATAGATGGTACCAGTACAATGCTCATAGAGGACACATGCATGCTTTCTAACACCTTACTTCATGTGCTGACTGTCAGTCAGTCACCTGTAGCCATATTGCCTCTTTTCATTATCTACTTTTATCTATAGTTTGCTGACGATGACACTGCAAGCATTGCGTCTTCTGGTCGTGCCAGTCGTGAGCCAAGGGAGAGTGTGGTGAGCATGGTTTGCATGCAAACACATGCAGTAAATTTTAAAATTGCAGCAGTGTGTGACCCCATGAAATCTATTGGAAAGTGAAATTTGCTTTTGACAAAGTGAGCATTTTCCTCAAGTTTAGTTTATATGAATAATTTGCCTTAAAAAATATGTTCCTGAGAATATTCTCTGTGGGCTATGTAAGCTTTCATCAATAACTTGGCTCTCCCCATGTCTGTGTGCCAGTCATTGTGTATTTGAAAGATTTTCACTTTTTATTCTTTATTGCTATTTCATGAACATGTATTTAGGTGCTCAATTCACCAAAACAGAGTTTCTCAAGCAAAAGTAATGCTTCCACATTGTGTAAAACTCGTAGCAATGGATTATAAACCATGCTGCTATCGGTTATTTTCCTTGCTGTCTATTTGATTGTAACCATTGTTCATACATATTTTAAACTTTTTGCACTTTTTAAGAGTCGCTGAGGGCAAAATTTAAAAATTCTGGTCTTAAACTTCAGCTAGAGTAATAATTATAGTGGCAGCAAAGAACTATGTTAGAATCCAGATTGTACAATTTCAGGTTATTCTTTTCACGAAGCTGTAAATTTAACAGAGAACTGATGACATTTTTGCTATATTTAAGAATGCTTTGAAAATTACATTGGTGAGGATGGTATGTCAGCTTAAAGTTAGAAAAAGGAGCCCAATAACTAAGAGGCTACAATTACTGTAAGAAAATAGAAGGCCTTTTAATACCAGTCGTGTTTTATGAAAGATTGTAAACCTGCAGTTTTCATAGAGAAGGGGAACACCAAACACATGTGAGATTTGTTGCCAAAAATCAGTGATCCAACTAAGGCAGTTGTGTTCTGGAGGCAAGCCAGTTAATAATGCTCATACAGCCAGAGTAGAAAAGCATCTGAAAATATCTTGGAAGGCAATGGAGTGAAAAGGGCAGGGCTTCTAATGAAGGAGTGTGCCTAAGCCCCTTCCACAACCTGGTAGTCATGTATGGCGGTTTCTTTGTGCAATGGTGATGTTAATGACTATCTCTGTAGGTGATAGGCTAAATATGTTAATTAAATGAATTACTATATAGAAAATAACTATCAAAATTCTGAGACAGTAAGTCTCAATAAAATATTAGTATGTAAATCTGACTTGTGTTACTATTACTCTGAATAAAAATGCTATTGCTTGATTATATTAGCCCTCATGTAAAGTTTCATACTTGCAAGCATTCTTTGTCTCTATGGATGTACTTCCACATTTCCTTCTTGGAAGGGAAGAGTTTTTAAGCAAGATAATCAGAGCTGAGGTAAGAAATAGCTATGGGTGAATATAAATATTCATTATTTATTATTAATTCGGCAAATGTTTATGAATTCCTGTTATATGTGAGGCGCACTGTGTTAAGTGCTGAAGTACTGTGGTAAGCCAGATAGGCCAGATTTCTTACTTCATTATATCGTAGTGAAAGAGACAAACTAATAACGGAAGAAAGAGAAAGAAACCCGAGGGACTGTGAAGAGTAAAAGCAGGTGCTCCGATAGGGAACATTGTGGGGTGGACTTGGGGTGGGGTGGTGGAGAAGGCTCCTTAGAGGGAAGTGACCTTTAAGCTGGGAATTGAACATGGAGGAGCCAGCTGCTAGGAGAGCTGGGAGAAGGGCTTGCTAGGCTAGCTCCAAAGTCTAAGGTGGGGCAGGGTGTGCCTGGGAGCTGGAGGAGGAGGCCAGTGCAGTTTTCCCGATCTACGGTTCCTGGTCTTGGGGAGGAAAAGGAGGGACTATGCAGATTGGGTGAATTGTACCACGGAGCATTGGGCATTCAGTATGTTCTGCATAGCAGAGTTGATAGCAATACTGAATTGTAGATGGCAGTGAAATACGGTAGAGCCTCTGGGTACCTACAATCCTGGAAACCTTCCTGGTAAGGGTAATGCATTACTTAATCATGGAGACTTGCTGGCCTGAGGCAGTAAATGACCCCAGAACACAGAACTCGAGTCAAGATGAACAAAAGCTTATTTTAGGGCTTCCTGACTTAGGAACTCCTTTGCATTTCTTTTTTGCTTCTTTGAGTAGGTTAATTGCAGCAGTTTCCTCACTGCGTTATTTTGTCACACACCAACCCTGGCCCCCAAGATGCCAGGGTTCTTATCTTTTTCTTCTCTCTTTTCTTAACTTTTAAAGCATCTCAATTTTTTCTGGCTGAAAGGTGTCCGCAGCTGATTATTTTAGCCGCTCCAACCGTAGGGGGAGTGTCGTCTCCGAGGTGGACGACAGCAGAATCCCAGATCTGACCAGCGTGAGTTGTTGCATGGGGTGGCGGTGTGGCCCCAGGCTTGTGACTAACTGCTAATACACTGGCTATTTTAACATTAGGAACTGAATTTACTGCCTTGAAAATATTTTTTGAACACACTAGTATAAAATACGGTTATTTTGTTTTGGAAAGTATACACTGATATATTCTGATTTTTGAAGACTTTTTTTCTGTTGAAATTCTCCCATGTAGAACCCGTCAGCAGGTTCATCAGTTATCAGTAGTTTGACAGTTTTGTTTAAAATGTTTCTTCCCTTTTCCCTCCTTTTTTCTTTTGAATTATTTTAAAACAAATCCTATCCACCATGTCATTTCCCAATAAATAGTTCAGTATCTATCTCTAATTGGGAATATTTTTTGTATTTACTATACCATTACCATACCTACTGAAATGGAAAATAATTCCTTAAAAACTATCTAATACCTAGCTCATATTTAGATATTCCTCATCTGTCTTAAAAATTTTCTTCCCTTTTCATTTTGGTGAATCAAAGTTCTAGGTAGCCTTAGAGGGTTGAACAATAAAATATACCGCTTAGCAAAGTTTCAGTAATTTATAGTAACTGGTAAGAATCTGAATTGATTTTAAACATTTGGATTTATGGCAGTGTTTTGAAGAATACCCTATCCATTGCTTTACTTGCATTATGAACTACATTTAGGAAAGATTGTTCAGTGGAGATGCCTTGACACATTTGTCTTAAGGAACCCCAACCAGCAGACACCTACCAGTCTGATTTTCTGTGACACCTTCTCTCTGTTGCTGGCATTAGTGTTGTTTTGTCCTTGGACTAACATTGTCCTGTTTGTCAGCACTTTGAAGTGAGTAAGAAGCAGCATTTCTTAATAAAGTTTTTTAATGAGGCGGTAATAATTTATATTTGCATATCACTTTGTATTTAAGTAGCTATTTCTGTATGACTTCAATCCTAGAAAATAATTTTAAGAGTGATTCTTAACTATTTCAGATTATTGGCTTTCAAATCTGGCTGTGCAATAGTCCCACGTTGCCCTGGGTCAGATCAGGGAATCTCTCTGTACACAGTTAGAAGATTGGCTCCCAAGTTTTTACCTAAAATATTGCCCATTTTATTAATTTGCTTAGTAATCTGTTTTTTTCCTGCCATTATAAGCAATTTAGTTTATTGTGTACACCTTGTACTTAAAAACTTTAAGTTCTGTTAGCCTCTCCATTGTGATGTCTGAATTAGTGGTTATGTCCTCTTGGCAATTATTTGGCAATTTTTTAAGTAACTACTCAGAAGTGAGAAAATGGACAGTTTTTAAAAATTTTCCTTTGCCTCTACTAATTTCCCAGGTAGTTATTTTGATTTATTTACATACTTTTAAATAAAAATTGTATATATTTAAGATGTATAACATGATGATTTGATATACATGTGCATAGCCTATGTGTATCTTAAATCATTGTGCCAAACACCTTATAACATAAGCAAGAGATTCTCTAGGGCAGTGGTTGGCAAATCTGGCCAGCACCCTGTTATCTTATAGCCTGCAAGCCAATGGTTTGCATGCTTTTAAGTGGTTATTTAAGTACCTATATAAAAGCATTCTTAATTTTGCCTCTTGACAAAACCTGAAATGTTTGCTGGTCCCCTCTGTAGAGCAATTTTTTTCTCTATTATTATTTCTTTTAAAGCATACACTATAATTCAGTTCATTGTAGACAAATAAAAAAGACTTGATGTTGATAAACTCTCCCCATCCCTCATGTACTTTTAAAAAAGATAAGCTGGAAATTTGCATTTTTATGTGACATACTCTAATTTTAAAGGACTGGCAATGAGTTCAGAAATTTAGAAGGCATCTAATGGCTTTCCCATTGTGGGTCAAATATATGTGTACAGACTACTGGCTTATAACTTTTAAGCTTTCAAAAAAGGATTCCAGGCCCTGATTTGGCAAGAGTCATTGTATAGTCTCTATGGTTGCTCTAGCTTCTTATTTTCTGCATTGTTTTCCTTTCTGTCCCATAGGTCAGGCTAGATAGAGTAAAGGAAAATAAACTACATGTGCTAACTTCAGTTTTGTTGATTGTTAATAATCAGACCATTTCTGACTAGAATTCTCAGCCAGCTTTGTTTTAGATTATTAAAATTAATTACTCCTTTCCCTTCTGTTGTTGGAAAATCAGATCTTCTATTTTCTATTGTTTTATTCCCCCCAAACAGAATTTTTAAAAATTAATTAATTAATTAATTTTATTAAGGTATTATTGATATACACTCTTATGAAGGTTTCACATGAAAAAACGAGGTGGCTACTACATTCACCCATTACCGTGTCCACCCATGCCCCATTGTAGTCACTGTCCATCAGTGTAGTAAGATGCCACAGAGTCACTATTTGCCTTCTCTGTGCTACACTGTCTTTCCCCTGAAAAGGTGCCACACCATGGTGCCAATCATAATACCCCTGAATCCCCTTCTCCCTCCCCCCACCAGCCTTCCCCCACCCTTCCCCTTTGATAACTGCTAGTCCCTTCTTGAGTCCCAAACAGAATTTTTTAATAGTGTTGGAATCTAATGACTACATTAGAATAGATTAGAATTTAATGATACATTAAACTATATTGTAAATACTTTATTTGATTATAATTTTTAAGAAAAA